AACTTTTAAATTTGTCTTTAATTTTGTGAACTTTTTATTGACATCTCTTTGTAACTGTTTTGATTAAGACTGTAGATTTACAGAGTTTTAACGTATATTTATTCATATTTCCTCCATGTTATCTTTAATGCACGTGTGTTAATATCCCTCTATGTTGTCTGTAAATAATTTAGTGTGGCAGTTGTATTAGTAATAGTATGTACGCCGTCTGGTATATCATCTTCCTCTTTCGATTCATTACTGCTGGGAGATCTTGTACGCCGTCTGGTATATCATCTTCCTCTTTCTACTCATTACTGCTGGCATATCCTGTACACCGTCTGGTATATCATCTTCCTCTTTCGATTCATTACTGCTGGCATATCCTGTACACCGTCTGGTATATCATCTTCCTCTTTCTACTCATTACTGCTGGCATATCTTGTACACCGTCTGGTATATCATCTTCCTCTTTCTACTCATTACTGCTGGCATATCCTGTACACCGACTGGTATATCATCTCCCTCTTTCTACTCATTACTGCTTGCAGATCTTGTACACCGTCTGGTATATCATCTCCCTCTTTCTACTCATTACTGCTGGCAGATCTTGTACACCGTCTGGTATATCATCTCCCTCTTTCTACTCATTACTGCTGGCAGATCTTGTACGCCGTCTGGTATATCATCTTCCTCTTTCGACTCATTTCTGCTGGCAGATCTTGAATAGCAGTAAAGCACGTTTATAATTTGTCAGAACAATTCCCGTGCATCTGAAATCTTTGCTTATGTTATCATCAATCTGTTTTTGCAATCCTGAAATTTTCTTTGCCTTTTCAATACAATTTTTTTCAATAGCAGTTCATCCTTTAGATCAACTCGTTTTAATGCACATTTGTTATTAACTGCAACAGTTATTTTGTAGCGGATCTGCTAGATTGGTAATAGGGTTATTGCTTAGACTTAAGTGATTGTAAAATTACGTGACCTACTGCACCATAACTTTTTTTTCTCCTCTGTTTGTGACTAAGTTTTAAAGGAAAATCTCCAGGAACTCTAAGATATCTCTCTCTAATCAATGATATTTACTTTATATGGGGAACATATGTTATAAGTATATACTTTTTCTTCATCTCTGATGCTGATGTTCAGTATGTTAATGTTTCTCGTTTGTAGCTGTTTATAATAGCAGTTAGCATTATGGGAAACAAAATGTCCACAAAAAAACTTTGTTAAATTTACAAATATTCTGAAAACACGAAAAGGCGAACTTTGATGTGATTGCTTTGATAGTGAGAATCTATAATTTGTTTGGTTTTAGAAAACTTATTTCAGATTAGGTAGATACCTATACCGGCCCCTGTCTACATAATCCTAACAATTTAGCATTATTGCTGACAATATGCACTTTTTAATTCTTACTCTGACTTTAACATTTGAAATGTATTTGTACGTTCAGCATCGATGCTTTCTTTATGTCACCATATGCTGCAATTTCCTTTTCCCTCGTTCATTTACTTTTCGAGTGAATAAAATGCAACAGGATTTTAAAACAGCCATTTTTAATTTTTGTTGTTTATATAAAAATGTAATGTTAGTTCATGGGAAATATTGTAATATCCATTAACCAAATCTAAATTTTGAAGTAGATAGTTTCCATGTTTTTACTTGGACTCGTAAAATTGGCTTCCTTCTCTTGGAGTCATTTGAATGCATATATAGTGCTCTTGCTTCGTGAAGGCGTCCCCGTTCATTTCTATATGCAATGTTAGCTATTCCAGAACGTAAACACGATATAAAATGTGTATTTTCAACTTTGATCCTTCCTGTAAGTTTTTCTAAGATCTCTTACCCTTTCAACTTTTCCTTTCATCCAACATATTTGTTTTTTTTTAAATTCATTAATGTTTTTTCTTCTGTATTTGCGTTTTTCTTCCTGAATGCGTTTTGTATATCATTCCTCGTTGATAATATAAATAAACAATCCACAACTGATTTCATTGTCACAGATGACTTTGCTTATCATGTATTCAATACAGTTGAACTTATCATGGAGAGGTTAGTGTTATGACTGGTCGGACCGGTGTCAGGATAATGTGACTGAGTAGGACATCATGCTACATATCTGCGGCATGATGCCCAGGTGCTATACAACACTATAAACTGTCACACTGCAGACATCGTAGCAATATGACTGAAAAATTGTTAAAGATACGTTAAAAAATCTAAATCACACGCGCGCGCGCGCAAACACACACACACACACACACACACACACACACACAAATCACACTGAATGCAGATGTTCCTGTTTATTCATATTTTAGAGCCATTTTATGAAAAATCCTTTTAATAAAGTTCATATAATTGATGCGATATATCCTCAAAAGGCTAGTACTACAGTAGTAGCTATTACCGATTTATTTTTTTTTAAATCGAGCTAAAACAGTACCCAACCTCACCTCTTCTAGCCAATTTAAAACTATGTATATTATTTGATATTTCCTTGTCATATCTTTATTATGTTCAGTCTCTTTGATCATTTATATTTTAATCTCTTTTACTCGTTGATGTTTTTATGTTGTGTATGATCAACAACGCAGCTGAATATTAGCTGGCATATTATCCGCTTTTTCCCCCCTATAGTCACGTTTCGACATTACGTTTTGCAAAATCTCTAACGCTTTTTCTCCTTTTCTATTATCTCTCTGAAATTGATATGTTTGAAAATTATAAAATTTGACTCAACGCAGATATATCTGCGAATGTTTAAATACCGGAATACTCAGTAAAGTATCCAATTCCCTTTAACGCTGTCAAGTTATTTTTCTATTATTTTTGAAAACTATTTAAGTTGTTGGTTTAAATAAATTAGCTAATCAACCGTGTATCAAGATAAATCATGACATTTGACAATATTTTAAAATTTTTACCTGCTTTTGCGTTTACTATTAGTTAATATATCTGCTTGGTTAATTCTGTTTTGTCTTTTCTTACCATATTTTCCTGTTATGTACTTTCTCAATCTTGGAAACTTTAGATTCTGTGAATAATCCTAAATTCCTGTTTTCTTTTCAAGTGGTTCGTTTTCCATTTTTGTTATTACATTTTCAACGGTAAATAAAACCGATTATCTATCTAACATAAATGAAACACGTACTGAAATCTGGCAAAGTGACTTTCAGAATCTGCTTCTGCCATAAAAAATGAATTCCTTGATAGATTAGACTTAAAAGCACACAACATTTATCGTCAGACATCCAATAAATGATAACGAAGGTATACCATTACTTGAAAAAAGTTTGTTTTGATGCGAACGAATTAACTAGCGAATTAAGAAAATCAAATACCAAAGTTTACCCTTTAAATAAATGCTTTAAAAAAGAACTAAAAGATGACACATATAAAACGACTTAAAAGAGAAAATGAAGAAATCAATAATCGCGAAAACATATATATTACAAAATGAAATGCACAAAGTTATTATAATAATAATAATAATAATAATAATAATAATAATAATAATAATAATAATAATAATAATGTGCACAGAGCATACACTTGAAAAATTGTAGGCGATTTACCGCATTAGATAGCACATAGAACGTATACAAAGACAATATTATTAAAAGAAACACCATTAAATTACAAACAATACGATGTTAAACTGGAGTGTATGTCATGCATTAGATTGGTTCTATTTATCATACGTTTGTAGCAAACACATATGGAGGGTTAGAGATTGATACGGTGAGATGATATATGATGCAGAGTTGACCATGTGCAAGACTGTGGGACACAAATGAAGAATGAAGAATATTATCATCAGGTCTACCAAGAATCCAGTATAAAATGTGATCGTATATATTGGTGTGTTGACTAATTGGCTGTTTAGGTTAAAATGTGTATTGTATGTTTTGGAGCTTTTATGCATATTAACTATCAAGATAGTCGAAGTGAAAATTAGAATCTACCAGGATAATCAGGGATTTCCACCTATCGAATTTACTTACTCCAGGAGGTTAGGAAGCTGCACCAAAAAGAGAGAAAAAAAATTTCCGGCAGGAAGGAGAGTAGTAGACGGCAGAAAAAAAATGGAATGACCTTTATTCCATTGTGAGTGAGAAATAAGTAAAGATAAATATCACAAATTGTTCAACACTGACAACATGAAATAAATTATAAGAATTTCCTTTCGGAGAAAGAAGGAAAATGATAATCATACAAACAGGAAAAACAACTACTGCCGTATCATCATCGACAACTGATACTATCAACAGCTGCTCTACAGTCAATGTTGTAAAAATGTTCTTTTGCTGCTGCCGTTATTCCCACTCTGCCGTTATTCCCACGCTGCCGTTATTCCTACGCTCCATACTTTGAACTGTTTCCTGACAAAAAAAAATGGCTTGAGAAATTTAGCTAATTTTTTTTATTTGTTTTTGTGCTCGTACGCTATAGCCTATTTAAAAAAAACTATCTACAATAATCGTCTGTATCAATTAACGCATATTGTGGAAGGATCCTTGTGTAGTTCATGCTAATTTTATTTACATTGGCAATTAAAAGCAGGTAGTGTCTTTCATTGTAGTGGTTGCGTAGTAGTTGCAGCCTAAATACATACGTGTCGATTCTTCAGTTGTGTTAATTATAAAAATCTACCACTTGTAAAACATGGATCCCCCCATTCTTATTTAAAACTTGATGTAGAAAGCTGTTGCACGTGAGACGTTTCATAAATTTGTCATTATCACATAGATAATACGACTTTGCATGATTTACAAATTATTCACGAAGCGTTACAATAAAAAGAAAGAACATAACACAGAGCTATCGGATGATATACACATAGCACTTGCTGGTTTCACAGTAGCATCTGAACGGAGTAAAGTTAGCTTTTGTTGAGATTTTGTCTGGAACAATCAGAATTTGGCCAAATTATTTCATGCGACTTTATTTATTTATATTTTCTTGCTTTTCATATTAGTCGTAAGTGCATCGTGATATCAATGGTTCATCTGGACTGAACCGCTCCGGTGGCTTAGTGGCTATAGCATCCGTCTTGGATGCAGGAGGTCGCGGGTATGAACCCCAGCCGAGTTATACCAAAGACTTTAAAAAATACTACTAACATTTGCCTCGCTCGGCGCTCAACATTAAAAGGTTAGTGTTAGGACTGGTTGGCCTAGTGTCAGGATAATGTGACTGGGTGGACATTAGGTCACATGTCTGATGCATCATACACCAGTGCTAGATATCACTTTAAACTGTCACACTGCAGGCATCGTAGCCATATGAATGAACAATTGTTAAATTATTAAACTATAAATCACACACACGATCATCTGGACTGAATAACTGAGACTTATATGATAACTTTTTCTATTTGGATATAATACTGTACACGTGTTCATGGGTAAGGAAAAGTATATGAATATATATATATATATATATATATATATATATATATATATATATATATATATATATATATATATATATATATATATATATATATATATATACCAGTTGTCGCCATAATAATAATAACTCTGTTAATAATAACTATCTGATTCTTATTTTCGATCGGACTTGTCAGTTATAATCATTCTTTTTATTTTTAAATAGGAATCAAAACTTTGCGTGCAATCGCGAGTTATTAATATGGCGACAAGTGGTACACGGCGAGAATTGGTCTCTAACCAGTACAGTACTTTTAATGTGTCGATTAGTAAATTTAATCATGAAATATACTGAAAGAAAACGGTATGCTGTTTGATGTAGCTTTCATATATTAGTAAAAAGACTGAGCACTAATGACACTTTTAAAAGTGTCTCACAATAACGTTTTAGGAAAGTAAATACCGCAAAAAAATTGACCAAACAGAGCTTCAACGCAAATAAATTGACCAAACAGAGCTTCAATATCTTTTCGGCAAAGATCCTAAATCAACATCAAAACGAATAAATATCTTTTATAAAGAAAAAGAAAAAATTGTAGAGTATGCAGATGTCTCAAATTTGTGAAAGATTTTGGTCAAAGTAAATTCATTTCAGTTTTAAAGAATTGCTACAAATAATTTCTATGCTCCAAATTTTTTGCTGAAAAAAATATTCTATTTTATTCTTCAGGAAATGGTTTTCAACTGGTAACTTAAACCTGCATAGGTTTAGAATGGGGTTTATAGGTTCAACTGTTGAAGGTACACATGATCAAACATCGCATGGCGTGATGTAAAAGTCCCAGTAAGGAATATATTGTTACGCATTTAGGCTCTTACAAAAAGTAATAAGAAAAAGTGAAGACGACTTTGTAAAATTTAACAAATAATTTATTTCACTAGAAAACCGAAGTAAAAATAAGAAAAAGAACTTACGGTTTTATGAGGTAAATCCAAAATTAATCCAAGAATTAAAATTGAAGTCCTATTATTTAAAAGTCCTAAATAAATCTGAGTTCGAGTCCTGATAGAATTCAAAATGGAGGCCGATGATGTCTGTCGTAACCTTCAACGTATAGATGTGCCAACAGTTCCTTGTTGAATCACAAAAATATTATTTCCGTTTTTAATTCTGAATAAATTTCAATATATGTCTTTGTCCAGGAATTTCATAGATCGCATATATTTCCAGTGCAAGGAATCCATAAAATAAAATTTCAGTTCAAAATGGTCACAATAAAATACCTTTCAATTTCAATGGTTTGGAGACCCGAATACCCATATTCTATCCAGAAAACAGTTATACACTAATTTAAGACGAAAAAGAGATTCCCTTATAAGGGTCACATGATCAATTTTCCAGAACAAATATGAGCTTTTTGCATGCCTAACATCATGCACTCCTAGTGTAATGCGGTAACTGAAATCAATTGTTCTTTCTCTGGGAAAGAATAATAAAAGAATTTTTTTTTACCAGCACCCTTACTGATTCTGATCAAGGTCAGCAACTAGACAATGTTTCTGTTATCAGGTCATACCGACGTAAACTGAATTTCTGAAAATATGTCAAATCCAGTAAACAAAGTTACCTTATAAAAATTTTAAAACTAATGAAAACAGATAATTCAATTAAATATACATAACAATATTTATATTCTTACTACCAACATATTAAAATAAATCAAACTGGAGCCTCTTATGACTGTCATAAACAAGTCATATAAACTACTATTAACATAATTGATCCTTTATGTCCAAGCAAACTACCTCAATAATGTTACTTTTGTGATTATGTAAGACTGTTGTCAACATCTTAACACTTTCCGTAAAAACAATAGTGTCTTTATTGTACTTAGGGTTGGTCAGTATAAACATAATGTTTGTACAACTTCAATCAGCTTTGTCAATATAGGAAAATGTACAAACAAATCCGTACATAAGGCCTCTATGGATCTGGGAAACGTTATATTCTGATTTTGTCTATTTTAAAATATGTATCCTTTTCATCTAAACCATTTCATGGAAGCCGATTGAAACCATTTTTAAATGAACTTTTTACAATAAACAAAATTGTAATCATCGCAAAATCAGAATCTCAGACACTGCAGATATAGCATACTATCAAATTAATATCCCCGTTTCATTCTTTAAGATTGTGAATAATATAGACATTATTGCTTTATTTTCGTATGATGACAACGAAAACTATACACTTTGTCTTCCGTGAATTTTGTAATTAATGCAATTTAAGGACATTCGGTACTAATTGTATTGAAAAATGAGAACCAGCCTAGAAATGGATGAACATTAAATAGAGTATATATATATATATATATATATATATATATATATATATATATATATATATATATATATATATATATATATATATATATATATATATATATATATATATATATATATATATATATATATATATATATATATATATATATATGGGTTTGCGTGACCAGAATTGTTTAATAATGTTAGTCATGTTTTAGGAAAAAAAAATCTTTTGAGACCTTATCCTAGTTGAGAGTGAATAAAAATAGAGGCATTGTTTTACTGATAGAATTTCAGTCCCTTTAATAGTCTTGTTTTTTTTTACACGCAATACTAAAATTAGCACCTGACTCTTTGGTGAGGAATTGAAAGCACATGTTTCAAACATATGCAGGTCCAGAAAATGCTTCGGCTCATATCATTTTTTCTGCGCAGAAGCAGACTTCCAGGTTTCGTCTATACCGATAAATATAGGTTAGGTCTTGAATTCTCTAAAATTTTATTTATTGAATTTTTAATATCATGGTGTTTGTATAGGTTTACTATGTTAACTGAATTAGTACCGTGATTCCTTAAAGTAGGTTTGGCTAACTGAGGCTTGTCCGGTTCTGTTTCCGTTGAGACTTTTATATTGAGAAGGCAAACAAGCGACAGGAAGTTATATTATAGACTGGTGCACTTTTGATAATATTAAAAGTCACATAAATTTTATTCAGAAAATTGTGTTAACCAGTCGAAAGTGTTCGTTAAAATGACGGGATCACCACCGCTTAACGAGGAAATTCAGCACGTCTCATTCTACAACATCAGACCTATTTTATTCCATGGATATGTAGGACCCTTCGCGATTATATATGGAATCTGGTTATATTGTTGGATTGCCTTTTATGGGCTCGAAGATTACTATGAAGCCGGTTTCATAGTATTGGCCATAATCGGTCTGCTGCAGATCCTGACGTCGCTGTTTTGCATGTGGTCCGTTAGCGTAAATTGTGCACTTACATGTTCAAATGTAAGAACTTAGTAGACGTTTTATTTATGTTTTATTTTTGTTGGTGAATTGCTAAATGCATTAGTTTTGATTATCTAACACTTGCCTAGCATATGGTGCCACAACTAACGTAACTAGTTTTCGCGGTAAGGTTTGGGCAAGTCCTACCGGGCTGCAAGACGTCAGTCCTGTTATGATGGGAAAATGCAGATTGTTGATGTCTAACAGCTTGAACAAGCGGTTATGTGCTGCTGCAATGTCAGTCAGTCTCACAACTATTGTCTGACTATCCTTCCCCGTTTGTAGGTGTACCCCCTCGCCGACTTAAATAACAAAAGGTATAAATTAGATCAGATATGCACAGAACATGCTCAGTTCATTCATTCATTTATAATTTATAACCTGACTGTGACCAGGTAGGCCCTGACACCGTCATCATCTGCACATTTAATGCTTAACAGAAGTTTTAAATATAAACAATAGACATGCTTGTGATCCATTTCCAGTTACTGAACAAGTCCATTTTTAGTCCTGACACATAAGACCCATCAGGGATCATGAGTTTTGCTGCCTAACAAATGGTGCTGTATAGCGTGTTTTGATGTGTGACGAAAGTCAAATTTTCAGGAATATCACACACAACTGGCAGCCAATAACGACACTTTTATACAAAGTTATAATGTTTTTGTCAGACATTATTTACCCGGATGTGTTTTCTATAATAAATTCAAATTCTCACAATGAAATGCCAACTGGAACTATAAGCAATGTTTTGTTTCATTTAAGTAACATGTCCTCCATATGAACCTACTTGATCATACTTTGGCATACCTTGACTACCATCACATTGCAACAAATTCAAATGTATGTCAACTGAACATGAAAATGTATCCATTTGTTTGTGTCATATGTTGATTCAACCAGGATAAAGACAGCAGAGCAAGTATATTAATTACACATAAATTAGTGAAAGAGTGTTGATATAGGCTGCTGTGTGTGAGATATTCCTGAAGCTGACTACTCTTTTCGATTTCAACAACATCAGGCCATTATTTGGGTAGTAAGAGAGTTCTTAAGCAAAATCGTGCTATGTCTTACATTGTAGGACTACTCCATTTTCATGAAAGGGTGTATGCACAACTACGTATGTATTTATGTAGAAGGACAATACTATGCTGTCTGCTTCCGATATAATTTACAATGTTAAATCAAGCAAAGGAAAAGAATGACAATTACAAGTTTGCCTTTCACATGGATTTTACAAGTGTTATAATTTTTATGTTCATGTGTGCAAAGGATATAACTTAATTCTCAACATTAAGGTAATTTAAGAAATTATTTTGCAGTTACTGAACAGGATGAACTATGTCACAATGCTGAGGAAA